TTTCTCAAAATCACATAAAGTCATATTATAACATCGAATGAGATAAGAAATAAAATGAAATATTAAAATCATGATGTATCTCGCTGCATTGTGCGAGTACGCTTCTAGTATATATATATATGTGTGTGTGTGTGTGTGTGTGTAGAGGTTCAAACAAGAACACTTTCATCCTACGAAAACGCAAGAATACTCTTATCACATGCGATAATACACGTAAGGGACTTGGTGGAGTGCGGGCAACTTGGCCCGCGACTAGGTCGGGCAAAAGGTCGCCTACGTCTCTAATTTGGTATCATATGTGATGAATTATAGCATCACATGTGATTAACTATAGTGAAAGGGTGTCATCGTGTTTTTTGTGAAATTATTTCTCTCATGTTAATCATTTTCGAGGAAGTATTCAGATTTTGAAAATTTTGCTGGAGCAAAAAATTGCCCAAAATCCTCATTTTCTTCATTTTAGAGAATCTCTTGAAAATGATATCATATATGATACTAAAGGTTGTTTACTAAACACTTACTTGGTAAGTGCTTAACGCATAAATTTCCTCATCGGATGAACATGATAAGGACCAAGAATCTTACCGGGTAAGAGCGATGAGAGGGATGAAGATTCTTACCTGGTAAGTGAGAATGACGACTCTTACCCAGGTAAGCACTTACCTAGTAAATTGTTGCATTCGATATGCTTTGATGTACTAAAATCTTACGCATCTAAATAAATTATAGTGTTGACTCATATTGGTAAGCGCTTACCGGGTAAGCATTTGGATAAACGGCCCCTGAGTCAGACAAGCGGACAACCTTTGGCACGACCTAGGTCACCCGTACACCACCATCACCACATTCCTTCACGTGTATAAACTTGATAAAAGCATTCATGATTTCAATAAATGAAGATATTCTCATTTGAAACTCCACATAGAAAGTTCAAATGAGAACCGTAAATATACACCATTAAAGTATGTATATATTAATTAAAGTATGTGTATATATATATATATATATATATATATATATATATATACACTTGGGATTACGTGAGACCAGCTTATTTTCCTGAGATCTGTGCAACCATTTTTTTACACTTAAAAACTTCATAACAAAACTTTGTGAAGGTAACATTCACAGTGTTTTTGCCGTAAAGGTTCGGCTTTTGATAGTTTAAAAAATTAAAATCGGGTTTTTGAGACATTTTATCGATTTCTCAAGTAAATATTAGGCACTGGCGGATATGATGGAGAAGGACACGGAAGCGAAATGGGGGAATTCGATCGGTTATGTGTTCCTTCCATTCACCATCGGTATAAAAGATGACCCGATAGACTATATTAGAGATGCCAAGGCAATGATTGATCGAAAGAAGCTTTCCCTTGAGGCATTGTATACAGCGTCCATAGTCGACTTGGTTCTTAAATTTTTCGGCATCAAGGTGAATTTTATATATATATATACAGTAAAACTCACACATTCTCACCTTTGGTGACGTGTTTTAATGCCACAATATAGCATTTTTTTTTGTTACATACATTTGGATCGGGTCATCAATTAGGATCATCGGTTCTTTTTTAGATTAGATGCTTTTTGTGTCAAATTATATATAGACGGAACTTTGTTCATACCAAGACCAGACCAAACTTTTCCCGAACCGAACCAAGATTATAGCAGACAAAATTATGCTTGTGGTATGGTATTATAAAGCCAGATCCAAACCGCTCCCGACTTTTTTCAGACTGCTTTGGCTAAACTGGCTTGTTTTAGACAGGTCTATATGCAACTCTAATTTGTGACATCTTGTATCAGTGGCGCACGATGTGGTAGTTTACTAGATTCGTGACCTGCAAAGTTGACAATCAAGATTTTTGATGACTTCTTTCGTTGTCGTACACCGTAGTTCCAATTTTAGTCCATACAACAAAATTAGGTTTATAGGGAACCACCAACTTATAGGCGTCCTAATAGACTAATTTATAACACTTAATTTATAGGACCAAACAACAAAGTGTCCTATATAAAGACCTTTTTTATATAAAATAAGCGTCCTATAAAATAACTAACACGACATTTTTTTTATAAAAAAATGTCCAAAAAAACTTGTTACTAGGCCCAAGAAAGTCCTATAAACTTAGTACAATGCCTTTAGATAAGACACTTTATTTTTTGGTCTTATAAAGCGGTCTATTAGTGAGTTGTCGTATCTTGAAGTGCTAACTATATAGAATTCTAATTGTCGAACCACAGGCATCAAGCATGTTTGCGCGCAGGATCTTCAGTCATACGACCTTGGTTTTCTCAAACATGGTTGGGCCAATAGAAGAAATCGAATTCTATGGCCATACCCTTGAATACCTTGCTCCTTGTTGTTACGGTCAACCGCATGTAAGGATACGTTCGTTGGCTTATATTTCTACTTATTATCGCTTACACATAGAATAACACATACAAATGCGTAGATACAACACAGGTCCTTAGCCTTCCAAACCTGTTTTAAGAAGCAACAGAAATACACGGGCCTTCAAAAGCCCAGTTGGGCTTTAAATGTGAAATTTGTGCCCAATTAGGCCTTTTCGAACTGGTTTAATGGGGTCTTAAAAGAATACTTTGCATGATCAAGCTTATTGGCTTGGTTTGAGCCCAAGCTTAGGCTTATTAGGCCCAAAAATTTTCAGCCCGGATTTCGACCATGGGTTTTTTGGGCATGTCAAGATACAAACGCCAGAAAAAGAGTAAACATAGCAACATAAACGGGGATAAGAAACTATTGTCCCAAATTCACACGTTCCATCCCTATCCAACCAATGAAATGAAGACAAATCAGATTTTAATATATTTTAATTTTATTTTATTCAACTTCACATTTTCTCTTTGATGATGTGTATTCATGTGATTGGTGGACATGAATGGAACGTGAGATTCTACGACAAGTGATTCTTGTCCCAAAAAAGGTGTCGCATAAATATATGTATTGATAGGAACGGTTATGAATTTGAAAAAAACTTCATGAAATCCCCACGGCTTTAGCCTAGCAGGTAAAAATGTGGGCATCCTTACAGATACGGTAGAGGTCTAGGTTCAACTTCAAGCATCACCCACCTTGGCTCTGAGACATGCAGTTAATTTCTCTCCACTGATGGTGGTGGAGGACCCACAACAAAAGAGTTGTGGGCGCGGGTGGGGTTACGAAAGCATGAATAATCTAGATCATGATTATGGTATCGAGCTAAAATGGTTGATGCATCTGGTTTTAATTCAAAATAATCTAGATCATGATTATGGTATCGAGCTAACATTCTATTTGTCTTCATTTTCACCATCTGATGCTAGGGTTTGATGATTAATCTCCAAAGTTATGTGAATAAGATGACAATAGTCCTTTCGGTTGATGAACGTATCATCCCAGATCCTCAGAAGCTATTAGATGATCTTGAAGACTCACTAAAACTCATCAAAGAAGCAGTTTATGCAAAGGGGCTTGTTAAGGACGGTTAAACACTGTGTTTAAGAGATCTTTCGTTTTCATATGCTTTGTTATGTGTTTCTTTATATATGGACATGGAATTAAACATGTTTTTAATGATCTTTTAGAAGCTATTTAGTTGTAATCAATCCTCTCATAAAGGGTGCATTTGGTACGCAGACAACACCTACGAGAGTGAGGTAGACTGGTGAAAGACTTGTGGAAGGTCTTACAGTTTTAATTTGATATGGATTAGTTTATTAGTTTACCAATTTTATCTGATTCTTTCACTTGTTTTGGAGTTGTTCCAATGTGTCCTATCCTGGTCTAATTATCGCGCCAAACATGGAACAAGTTTTTGTTCTTACTTGATAAACCTTCCCCATAAGCCTATCATCGTCATCATCCATAAAACTACTCAGTTCTCAAATAGCTCGTATAAAGTCACTACCTCATTCTCGATAACCGCAAGAGTTGAAGGTAGTCTACGTTATGTGGTTTATATTGATGTTGTACAAATCATAAAGCTCAGGGTAGCAACTTTGAGGGAACGTTGAGTTGAGCTGATTTGGTTGGTCCAAGGATCATTGTAAAACACATTGTAATCCTCTCGGTTAGTAATATATCGATCTCTCTCCCTGTGGAAGTACACTATCATCCCGATAGTAGAGCCACGTTAAATCCCATTGTCTCGATTAATCTGCCGCTCACATTTGATCGTATGTTTGTTTATTGTTTCTTAATATACACTTGTTCATCGATGTATCTAATTGCAATGCATTATACAAAATTCAGATCTTGTTTATCCGCTTGTGTTGTATCGGGTCAGTTTGCATTGCGGTTTATTGATAAAGTTTTGGATCATAAATCATTTCATCATTTACGAATTGAAACTGTGACCGATCCTAGAGTCTATGTTATTACACTCCACTCCTTAAGCTACAACAAAAGAATCAGGTATTCAAATACACTTTCGATATTTTCTTAAATCTTTTTTAAAAAAAATGTTATACATGTTATTACAATTTTCGATGTTCAAAAAAAAATTGCGATTTCCGTTCTTGTAGTTGAGAAATTGCGGTTTTCGTCCCTCTGATTTATAATTCATTGTTATTTCCGTTCTTATGATTTACAATATATTGTTGTTTCGGTCCCTATTGCTTACGATTCTTTTCTATTTTGATCATTTATACTTATAAGTAAGAATTTAGTCCAGAACAAAAACAGCAATAAATTGCAAACTATAAAGACTAAAATCGGAATTTCTAAACAAAATGGAAATTATTAACAAACCATAGGAACGAAAATCATAATATACTCTATAATTTATAAGAACTTTATTTTTTTTTAAATATCAGACCTACGTATACCCAGTCCCGAACTAGACCTTGGATTGTCGTAAAAACCATATCCCGTCTTGAACAGACCTTGAATTCTCATAAAAAGTATAACCGGTCCCTACCGATCCCAAACGGGCTCAATTTGAACATCTCTATTCAAAAAGATGGAAATTAAATTTGCGGTGGGCCCACCAAGATATTGGGCTGTGGTTTGAAGGTCATTGGAAGATGCTGCCGCCATAAATAATGGGTCTACTAACATTTATTCATTGTGAACCACTTATATTACCAAACCAAAACAAATGGCTCCCAATTATGGCTAAAAGAAATAATGCTCCACAATCATCATCCATCACGCCACATGTGGGTGGTTGGTTTGTTGAATAATACGGTTGACAAATATAAAAATTAATCAGAGAGATCAATATAACTAGTATTTTTCAGGCTTTAAATTCATTTTTAAAGAGATAATCTTGCTTGGCAAAAAAAGTCTGTTTCTTAATGGTTCTAAAACTCTCTGAATGATGTTGTATCATGTGTCTCCCTTAACCATTCAGCCTAATAATTTCATTGTAAAAAATTACCAAACAATTATATTACTTTTTACACTATATCATGAGAGCTCTTTAATCATTCTGCACCAAACCATTCAGCAATTGTCAAACAACCCCTTAGTTATTTCTCTATTTAAATTTCAAAAATATCACTAGGTCTGCAAGTGGCCCCATCTTAATTTGCGGAGGGATCAAAATATAAAAAAAGAAAAGATTTCTGAATCAGGTCTACAAGTACAGGAACTAAATTTGTAAATTAGATAAAGATCTACGAAAGTGCCACTTGCAGAAGTGTTGGGAATACATGTGAAATTTTGAACTCCACGCCAATATCAAGAGGAAACCAAACACGATAAAAAGGGGAAAAAGACCAAAACTACATATTGTTTATTAACACCGAAACATATGAACCGCTACCAAATGTTTGCAAACCATGAGCCATCCTGGCTGCAAACAATGAGCTGCTTACTCCTATATTTACACCACATATTCCACAACAACTTGAAACCAAACCCACATATCAACCACAAGGTTTAATTCATGGAAAAGGACAAGAAACTAGACACTAACCCGGAACACCGTGAGAGGGCATTCTCGTCTTTTCACGTCTGATGCCGAGAGTATGGATGGTTAAGTGAGGCGTCCACGCTGATCCTGGACGGCCATCCTTTCCGAAACATCGGAAAGAGATTTAAGGTTGCAGTTTATTAGCGCTTTTACAAAGTAGCATGTGTCATCTTTGGTGTTGCCATCGGGTATGTCCACCACGAATGATTCTATGACTAACGTCCCGGATCTACCGTCGGTTACCTCCGGATGGACGGTGAGGATTGAAGAATAGTTCTGCAGAATCAAGAATATATAGGTTGAGGAAAGAAGAAAATGAAGTTGGTATATTCTACTTATGCACTTGAACATGTGAGTTTTAGGGGTTATGTGGTTGGTTTTCAAGTCCGGTATGGATAAAACTGACTTTGTGGATTAATCTGTCGATATAGATCGGTAGGATTTTTTGTTCGGGTAAGTTTTTTCATAAATGGAAGGATCTTATCTTTTAATCGGGCAGGATAGGTTTGAAAAAAAAAATCTGACTTTCTGCATAAATCTTCCTCCTAGAAGCTTGATGAATAAGTCATTTTCTATATCATTAAGCCATTACCAAACAGTCATGTATAGTTGACCGAATTATAATCCCTCGTCTTAGAATAAGTGTCTACATCAGTATTTTAGTTTGTACTAAAATAAATGTCTACTTTCTCATTCTATGCTTAATTATGAGATGGAGAAAATCTCTCTATAACTAAGGGCAAAATTGTCCATTTGTTAATTACACAATCCTAAAATTGTATGTGATTTTCATCAACAAACTTCTAATAGAAGTTGTAAGTCACAAGGGGAAGATGAAATTACCCTGAGCCTATGGTCGCCACCGACAATTTTGATGCCGAGGATGTGTTCCTTGTCATCGAGAAGTTCCAATCTCTCGGTGCTCGTTGTCGCCGGAAGCCCCGACTTGACATTCACCTCTCTAACACTCCCTATATTAAGATCCCCAAGCATAGTGCACCTGCTCACAAAGGGTTTGTACTTTTGAGGTTGATCAAACCTCCTAACTAATGACCAAACCTGAGCAATTACAGAAATTGGCAAAAGTCAATAAACAATTCTTCACTTATTAGCTCAAAGTTTCATCAAGAACAATGATTACAGATTCTGGTCACTAAGTTTATCGGGGTTGATGTCTTACTGTTACAATTTGTCGGAATTAGTCTAGGCATAGCTCAAGACACCTTTCCAAATCATAGAGAAAAGAAAAACACTTGCTAAGTCTTGAATTTAAAGAAAAGATGATTTTTGTTCAATGCATTTTTTGTTATTAGCTTTTCGGTTTCTATGTGTTTGTTAGTGGATCCGCGGTTGGATATGTGTTGTTGCATACGTATGCAACGTTGTATATTTCCTAGTGAAATACAGTCTGAGGTGATTCTGGAATTATCGTCGAGGAACTCTGATTGTTTGTTTGTTTTATTTTGTGGGCGAGTCGGTATTGTAATGTAGTCTAGATTCACGAAGGTAGTTTTTCACACCACACGATCTTCAAGTTACCTAAGATATCTTCGAAAAGAAGCAAAAACAGGATATCTTAGGTAACTTAAAAGATCGTATGAGGATGAAAAACTATCTTCATGAATCTAAAACCACACTAAAATACCGATTCGGCCACAAAATCAAGGAAACAACCAGATTTCCCTAGAGAATGATTCCAGTAACATCTCAAACTACATTTCACTAGAAAATACACAGAAACATCGATGAACAGTGCATACATATGCAATAAACACATATTCAACCGCGGATTCGTGAACAAATCCATAGAAATCAATACATACAAGCATATTTATACCAGAAGAACATCAATAATTCAATATAACTTCATTTTCCCCAAAAGCTGCATAAATCAACAAATTGATTGAATCCACAAACGTAACATACTCAAAATCCACAGACAGAGAGAACGAGATATATACATATAGCTAGCGATATAGATACAGAGAGATAATTACGATATCGACGGGAGCTTTGACGTGTTTGACGACGGCGGAAGCGCACTGTTTCCGGTCAAGGTTATGCCGGTGGTATCTTCTTATGTAGTGAGCTGCCTCCATTTTTAAATTCAACTTCGATTCAGTTCTTCGATCCAAAAAAACTGATTCCAATAAAAAATTAACGACCAGAAATCGTGTTTTTTATGGTTTTTGGGGGATGAATTTGTGATGGAAATTGGCGTGTATTTTATAATTTATTGAGATGAGAAAGAAACAAACCATCTAATCGGAGGAAGAACCCCACTACCGACAAAGAAAATAATATAAAGTGATTCGGGCCATTTGGGGTACTGTTTTCAAGAGAAGCTCCATGAATACAAGCACCCTCAAAGATGCTTAAACGAGAGGGTAACCGCACTTTGAATTTACAAATTATTACCCTCAAAATACATGTGCAAAATTCGTACTCCTTTTATAAATAAACTAGTATGGGAATCGTGCATTGTACGGTAGCATGAGTATTTTGATTAATGATCTAAAGATTATCTATATAAATATATATTAGCTGTTAATAAAATCATCAACAAATAGTATTCAAATAATTCGAAAAAATTAAATAAAATATAATTAGTGAAATTTTAATATATATATATATATATTTTGAGAGAGAGACTTGCTTAGAAATAAAGTTGTAAAACTAAATAAAATGAGTAATAATAACGACAAGAATATTAAAGAATCTGACATAAACTCAAGAATAAAAATTACTCCACATAAAAATATGTCTCCTTCAAATATTTCAACTTACATTGATGTAAGAAAATCAATTGAAAGAAGAAGAAAAAAGAACTCTATTAGAAAACTTAAAATATACGATGAGTCAATCTTAAGGCATTGCAGAAATCTAACTTCAACTTTTCATTTTCTTGCTTTGTTGTAAAAAGAAATCTATAGGGCTGTTTTGATTGACAATAAATTGAAATGAACACTTATGCAACCAAAAGATAACTCATAAAAGTTCTGGCATAAAAAAAAGAACTATCAAGAATATCATAAAAAAATCAACCTGTATTATAATATTTTAGCACATATAAAACAAGTAAATTAAAGAAAGCCCAGAAGATATTTATATTTTACATAACTAACTTCATAAAACAAAACGATTACTTAGTGGAGAGAGAAACATAAACGTCTTCTATGTCAAGAATTATGAACATCGACGGTTGCAATTAATGTCAACAATCATGGCTTTCCTTTATTTGCAAGACGGAGAGAGCCAACACATGTTGCACCTTAAGAAATTAGTGAATACCTTTAAACTTCTTCAATTAATTTCATCATATAATTGCATTATTAAAAATGTGCAAAATCATATATGATTCACGTAACAAATCATACATGATCCGGACGATTTTTCTCTGCTACTTAAGTGGCCTCAAGAGTCGCAAGCTTCCATTTAATGTAAAATTACATGTGAGTTTGTACATTTAACAACATTTTTCTTGTTTTCTTAAATAGTTAGCGTTCTATTTTGAACCTTCCTCTATGTATGTATTAATATAAATAAAAATATGTGCATTTTATATATTTGTGGATTCTAATTTCATTTAAAAAAGATAGATATGACTGAATTTTTTTTTTATTGAACCACCTCTTGGTCTTATCTTAATATATTTTAAATATATATTGATATACTGAGAAATTTTGATATATATTGATTGATTTTTGATGATTGATTTTTTCAATTGTCATATAATTAAAAAAATATACATTTATTGATATAAAATAAAATATATATAGTTTTATGTATTTGTGGATTCAAATTCATTTACAAATAAATAAATAAAATTAAGTAAAAAAAGTAGAAAAATGAAAGGTTTAACAATTAATATGTTGATTGTATATCATAAATAAATAAATAAATAAAAGAATAAATATGATAAAAAAAAACTTTTCAGTGAACAACCATTTGGTTTTTACTTCACACACCGTGTGTTGCACTGTGATGAAACTTGTTTTCTTAGAAAATACGTAATCAAATTAAGGTGAAACGTAATTTCGTAATAAATTGTAACATAAGACGATGATTGCATGGAGATGTTTTTGATGCAAATTTTGTGTAATAATGATTATGATGTATAAGCACCAAAAAGAATGATGTACATGTACCATTTTTCATCATCAATACGCACATTGACTTTAAAAAACATAATAGTGAATAGACCAACCATACGATATGTAAAAAATCACATATCGAACTTAAAGACTTCAAATCTTCATAATCCAATAGATAAAATTATAATGCAATCAAAATTACAACACGAACATACATAAAATTATCATACGACTAAACTTACGATAAGAACATACTTAAAAATATAATCCAATCAAAATCATGATACAAACATACTTAACATTCTAATACACTCTAAATTACAAAACAAACTTGCATAAAATCCTTATCTTAGATCATAATCATAAATTCTCACAAACCAAACTTGAAAACTTCAAATTTCAAGACTCATAGTTTCTTCTTTAATATATATATATATATATATATATATATATATATATATATATATAGATTGAAGATGAACAAAAAGTTGTTGTTCATATATATAAATAAATGATTGATTGAAAAAGATGAATGGTTTGGAGTTACGTCATTTGAATTAATATAGAGGGAGATGAATGGTTTGAAGTTGAATGCAAATATTTAACAAATATATATATATATATATATATATATATATATATTAGAAGGGTATTCGCTTGCCTTTTATAAATAAACTAGAAGGGTATTCGCGCAATGCATGAGATGCATCTTGATTTTAATATTTCGTTTTATTCTTTATCTCAATCGATATTATAATATGGTCCTATATAATATTGAAAAAGCGATAATGTTTTTATTTTTGAATAAAATATAAATTTGAAGATATCATAAAATTTTAACAAAATTATATCGATATTAGTATCAAATTAACTATTTAAAATTCCTCAATTTTTGTGTAATTTTTTAATTCAATTTTTTTAATTAGTAAATTAATTTTCTTATAAAGATAATAGTTAATTATCGTTAATTATCATAATTATATTTTAGATTTTTTATATTTTAAAATGAGATGTTTATTCTCTATTTGATTATGTTTATCAGCAGTTAGTTACACGAATTCAAACACGGAGTTTTAATAACTTGTACTTATGCATAATTTACTTGTAATCTTGAATTTTAAGTAATATGCATCAATATACAGTACTTTATGCATAAAAATGATTTTTAAGAGTTTTTGTCAAATGTTTTATAATATAGTATAGATATCCTTATAAGTAAAAAATTAAAGTGGTTTATAATAATTATCTTTGTAAAAGAATTCTTATAAGAACATCAACTTGAAATGAAATTTTATCTGTTGGGAAGGATACCTACGGGTACATGACCTTAATAGGGTGGGGATTCATCAGTTTGAGGGGTAACAACGGAGCAGGGATGTAGATTTTTTTTCATACCCGAAGCAGAATCGGGAGGGGTCGGGGATGGCATTACCCGCCTCTAATCCAACCCGGTTAATTTATATATATATATATATATATATTTGATTTTCAATATTGACAACCAGAATATTGACAATTTCATTATAATTTTAATTTTAAAATAGATCATTTTTCCTAAACGGGTTCCCCAAAGCCATCGGGGTGGGGTAGGAGATGAGGGATGTATTACTTATCCTGTTTCCATCCCTAACCTCATCTCTTTGAGTTATTGTACAAAAACCTTAGTTCTTGCAATGAAATTTGTGGCCACGGAGGTTCAAATGCGATGACTTCGAGCTACCCGCAAAACAGGTGGTCGCCCTAGTATTAATTAGCGGGTTGGATATCCAGATTAATTACAAAAATTTGTGTGAAGTGACAATTTCTTAGTTTTTTTATATATATTTATTGATTTTATAATAATTATTGATTTTACATATGACCCATTAAAAAGAGGTTCTTGTAACAACTATCATTACAGAATTTTATATGAATTTTTAATTTAATGAGTTGAAAAAGAATTGATAACAAAAAAAATACAAAAACAAGATTATTACAAGAACCTCTATTTATCGACTAAGGGGTCGTTTACCAAACATTTACTCGGGTAAGTAGTTAACAAATCACATTATCTTACTGGATGCATATGTCAAGGATCAAGAATTTTACCCAGTAAGAGCAAAGACAAACATCGAGAGTCTTGCTCGGTAAGTGAGAGCGACGATTATTACCACAATTAACGCTTACCGGGTAAATTTATTGCATATGATACCCTTTTGATGAACTAAAATCTTACCCTATAAATAAATAATATTGTTGAATTTTATCGGTAAGCACTTACCAGGATAAACTCCTCTAAGTTTTATAGTTTATTATATTTATATTATATTTTTTGCTAAAAAGTTAAAAAATAATGATGCACATTTTTATCTAAAAAAATGAATTTCCAAATGAGTTAAATCAAAAATTCCCGACAATTGTGTATGGTTTGCCCAAAAATTTCACCATGTTTTCTTTGCTTATCTTTGTCGGTTCAAATTTAATATTAATATGTCTTAATGAATAAGATTATTTTATATCAAATTAAACCAATTAATATTTGTATTAATCGTATAATTAAATTGGTACTAACTTAATTCGCAGTGATTACGATCAGTTGGTAATACCGGACCATGTATGCAAATTTGATTGATATACGATATTGAAAGTTATATGTCACGGTAATACCATGGTACCTACTTATTTAATTATTTATTAGTTTTTGAATTTATTATATATGGAATATTAAATTTTGTAGGTTCAACTATTTTGTTTTGTTTCTGGTTTTTGTTTCCTATCTTTTCACTCTCAATAACACAAATATAAGACTGTGTTTGGCAAATTAGCTGATAAGCTAGCTGATGAACTAAATATGTTTGATAAAACTAGCTGATATTAGTTGAAAATTTTAAAATGATAAAAAAATGACATATTTAAAAAATTAATAAAATTGAACTTTTCATAATATATTTAAAATAATTCACTAACAATATAATATGTTAATTAATACAAACCAGATGTTAAAAAAAATTAAATAATGAAATATGTTGAGTAATA